AGAAAGTGTCAAAGATGGTAAGTGCAAATGCATTGTAACTCTTTTTAAATATAGCTGACTGTTGCTTTGTTAATATAATTGACCATCAGAGTGTCTCGGTTTGCTTTGTTAATAACATTAACCAAATGGCGTTGTAGACATGCCTGTCACTGTCAAGCATACTGAGGTTGTTTGTTCTTTATGGTTTCAGGGGAAAGTTGGACCCAGAATATCTTCACATCTGACTCAGGAAATAAATGGTTCATCTTTTTATGTAGAGCACCAGTCTATTCCCCTCCAGGGTCAGAGTTTAATTTGCTTCTTTGCTTTCTTTATTTATTTTTTGTTTCCCTTCTAAAAAACAGTCATATTTGTCACAGGACTTAGTTCTGAGCTGGAGGAGCTGATGGTGGAGGGATTCCTGCAGAAGGTCACCTTGCCTGAGACTGAGCAGCTGTACAGATACCTGCTCTACAAAGTGGCCCCCCTGCCCTCACATGGCAGCCCCTGCAGGAACAACACAGCACAGGACCAACAGTCTCCAAGAGGAAGCCCTGACCACACCAAGGTAATGATGTTTATTGCTTATGGGTCATATTCTCCATCACAATTGATAGTTAGTTACAAGATTTTGATGGTATATTTATTGTAATGTTCTAATGCAGAATGGAGTTTCCAGTCTCAAAAAGGAGGCAGTTAACGGTCACAGCAAAAGGACCAAGCGACGTAAGGAAAGCTGTGACTCTCAGCACAGTGAGAAGGCCAAGAGGTGCCGCAAGAAGTCCAAGAAAATGAAAGAGAGGAGTGAAGAAACCAAGAGCACTTCTTCTCCTACACACACAGTGTCTGACCCTGCTCTATCAGATTCAGAAGAGGATTACTCACTGTGTGCTGCACCGTGGTGTAGAGAGCCAGAGGGCGACGAGGTTTGTTATACAATATAGGCACACATCCTCTGACCTGAATGTTAAACGATCATTTTCTTGTTTTTCTCAGATTTTATAGTAATGCTATGAAAAATACAAAAACACATCACCCCACCCCACCCCCCTTTTTCAGGTAAACTGGGTCCAGTGTGACGGCAGCTGCAACCAGTGGTTCCACCAGATCTGTGTGGGACTGTCTGCCGAGCGAGCAGAGAAAGAGGACTATATTTGCATAAGCTGCACACAGCCAGAATATGACAACTGAAGAGAGAATGAAGACCAAAAAGCGACTCTGAAGGATCAGCAGTTTTGTTGCAAGCCACAGCCAAGTGCACACCTGAACTCTGTGTGCCCTGTGGCTTCTCCCCTCTTACCTTCTGGCTTGCCCTTAGTGAACATGGTGCTATTTTACCTTTTTCCAGAGTTACAGAAGACTCCTGTCACTGTTGTGCTGTCACGTGGCTGTTTTTTCAGCTAATCAACTAACCCTTTCTGAAACTCTCCAAGACTTAACTTGATGCAGGTGTACAAGTGGCAAAATGTTTCCAGAACCAACAGGGCAGGGATTTTTTTCAACCAAAAACAAAAACTCAATTTGACATCACATTTTAGAACAGTTTTTTACATTCATCTGAACAATGTGAAACTTGTTTCTCGTGTAGAGGAAATATTATTTATCTAAGCAATAACTGAACTGATTAATTGAGGTTTGGTTTTCACCTGAACTATATTTGTGCTTAGATGTTATTTGATAGAATGCTTTCTTGAAGCAAAAACCCTAAAGAACTCACTTTTTTAATCCTACAATATTACACAGTTCAGTTAAACAGACAACAGAGCAATGACTATGTTTGAGCTTGTTGGTCCAAAATGTGCAAATGTTTGCACCAGAATATTTGCCCATATCCCTTAAAAAAAAAAAAATATCACTGCGTTTGATGTGAAGGTAGGTTCATCTTTTGTGATGTCTGCGGAGGAAAAAGGTGAGCCCTGGATCCGTTGCTCCTGGCACTGGGTGAGACTTAGGTTCACAAAGTAAGAATAAACTGTCCGACATCAAAGGAATGTAGATTTTGTTTTAGTGTGGATTTTTCCCTTTACGGTTGAGGATGAAAATCTTGTGTTGGACTTTGATTTATTTGCCACGGGTATATGACCTTTTTCTGCTCCTTTGGGTAAATAATATAATTCAAATGTTGCAGTTTGCATTATAAAATAAAATTGTTTGTTCCCATATGCCTGGACTTGTCAATCCTTAGTGCTGAATGCCAGACAAGTAAAATTTGTCACTTGCAGGCTGAAATATATTTTGGCATCCAGATTTTTTAAAATATCTCTTAGAAAAGAGAATAGGACATACAGCTGGCACAAGGAAACTGAAACAGACTGCTGAGTTGGGTCTTGTGCTCTTGTACTGTATCTGCTCATAAGTCATTTTACAAAGTGATGTGGCCAGTTGTGATGTACTACAGCTCTTTACATACTGCAAGTACATTTTTAAAAAGAATTACCTGATTTATTATTTCTACTAGTGTGCAGTGATAAACAGTTAAAATATGATCAAATTTAGGTTGTGACTGATTAAATTATGATTTTAGTTTTTCTGCATCTTAAACTACCATCTCACTTTGCTGCGGTGATGTGTCTCCATCGTCTGCACTACTTATTTGACTTCACTTGTGAAGCCGTTTAGATGTTAATATTTGAATTGTCTGTGTCACAACCATAGAGGCTACTTCCTCCTTTTAGGTATATTTTTGTCACTAACGTGGTGTTGGCACAGCTGTGTGAGCAAAATGCCTGAGTGCAAATCAATAAATATCATTACACCTTAGTCACACATTTACAGTAGTTTGTCGTTATGCAAATATGAAACTATCATCCTCTGCTGCTTCTCTCAACCTATTTTAGTTTTATGAGGTTTTCATTTCCATTTAACCTGGAGATAATTTTATATATATACCATAACATGTAGATGAAAAAGTAAAAGCTTATTTTGCTATAAGATTTAAGTGTTTTCTACATTTTTGGGTCTCTGTTATTCACAGCTGTTTTGTGTGTGTTATTTTAATGCACTAGGCAAGATTTAGGCTATCAGGATCTCTTGACTGGTGAAATGCTGAATAAGTGCAACCTTTTGTAAATCTGTAGACATATTGTTTTAAATGGCATTTCATTGTATTTATTAGCCACATCTAAAAATAATGCTATCTTGTACAAGTTGTATTGTGTTATACTTCTAGGTGTATCTGTTGTTTGGTCCACCATATTTATATCAGTGCTGAAAGGCTAAATAGCAACTTCTGTAGTTTAAATTGCTCCTGATAAACTGACAATTGAGCAAATTTTTATTTAACATACCTCAAATAAAATCCCAAGTATTGTACAGATATATACAAATGTTTGGCCACCCCTGGGCAAATTATTTATTTAGTTGAATTTTGAGTTTAAAAAGTGAATAAAGCCCCACCAAGAAGTAGACATTGATCACTCTAAATGGGCATTTCTTTAAATGTTAACTCAGTCATTTTCATGAATTTCATGAAATTTAAAAATATATATTAAGCAGCATTTGTGACACGCACAAAACAGTAGTTTTGCATGCAGTTGTAATCTCATTTTACTTTACTGCCTCCCCAGGTCTTTTGACTGTAAGGTTTTACTTAATATAAAAGCAATGAATTGATTCTCTTCACACCTTATTAGGCCTAATTGATTTCTTAAATTTTCTCATCTTTACAAATCTTGCATTAACATTGTTAAATATGGTTACTTTGTTATAATTTTGCATTTTGATGTCATTAGACGTAGCTGACTTGAGGGACTTGTACCTGACAGTCTAAACTCAGGGCAGAGATCAAGCAGTTTCACCTGACAGTCTAAACAGAGGACAAAAATACCCTAAAGTTCTACACGCAAAGGGGCGTGGCCTGTTCACCATTGCCCGTTTCTCTCCTGTTGTTAACTTGCTAGCTAAACAGGCTAGCTGTTGCTAGCGTCTTTGTTCGCTCAGCATCGTTAATGGTAAACCAAGTTAAGTCAAGATTTAAAACGTGCTACTTGGTTATTGTACATAGTTCAACGTTACTTCTTTCCCGTCATCATGGACGAGGAATATTACAGCAGTGCAGGAGATTGGGAAGGCACGGAGGGTAACGTTAACATGGTGAGCCCGCGACTTGTTGCTGTTTGGCTGTTCAGACAGTTGGTTAGCTAGGTATCGTTAGCTTAGCTGCGGTTACACCAGCTGCTGGTTTCTCGTGACAGATGTACATTAACCTTCAGCTAATGAGCAGAGACAGATGTGTCCACACCGCTGTACTGTTCAGATCTCTCGCATAGTTTGTAGCGTTAGCGGCCCAGCTACAGGCTAACTAGCTGTTACTTTGTTCACTTTAATATATTGTTTTAATTCTGTCACAGCATTTTTAATAATGTGCCAGCAAATAATAGCAACCGCTGAAGCTCTGCAACAGGACCAAATTACTTCATTGTAGGTCTGTAACACAAAGCTGTGTCCAGTAACAGGTGCACTTAAAAGTAATTAAAACGATAATTAAAATACAGCAACAATTACACAGGCCTGCGTGGATGCTTTAAAGCTGAACGGCGCTCAATCAGTCATATAGTTACATGAAACAAATACGCACAAAATAATGTGAAAGCATTGTTCATGGTGTGTTTGTGCTATGGCTCTTGTCAGTCCTCCTCTGCCAGCTCAGTGTTGTCACTCCGTATGTGCTAACGTTACTGTGTGAGAATGAGATTAGTGTCAGTATTCTCAAGGCAGAAGAGTCAGCAAGCGTAAACAAACGTATCAATGTGTCCTCCAGGAGGATGGCTATGTTGAAGGGGAGAATGATGGGAAAATCCAGGAAGATTGTCTGCAGAAGTTCTCCAGCAGAGACTACATCATGGAGCCTGCGATCTTCAACACCCTCAAAACGTATGCACCTGTCTCCTCATTCAAACATAATATACACTCTCAGTTCCTTGTTTCTGAGTAAGAATGACAGTGAAATAACTGAAAAGTGGCCACTGCACAGTACAACTAGTGTTTGTGATGGAGTTCACTTGAATCCTAAAGGTCTACTGAGAAATGGATGATTAAAAACATACCGTTGTTGCAGGTATTTCCTAGCAGGTGGCTCTCCAGAACATGTGATCCAGCTTCTCTCTGAAAACTACTCGGCTGTGGCTCAGACAGTTAACCTGCTGGCAGAATGGCTCATCCAGATGGGTGGGTAACAGACAAAAAGATCTTGTGGTGTATTTGGGTTTAGAATCATGATTGCTGTGCAAAAAAAAACTTCCCCTTCCCCAGCGTCCAACCATTACTGTGTACCTTATGGACAACCTTTCATTAATCTGTATTTTCTTTACTTTGACTGCAGGTGTGGAGCCTGCTCAGGTTCAAGAGCGAGTAGAAAATCACCTTAAGAGTCTCCTGATTAAGCACTTTGACCCCCAGAAAGCAGATTCTATTTTCACTGTTGAGGGAGAGGTGAGATTTCTGAACTAAAACTGAGGACTCATTTCACCAGTAACAATTACCACACATGTCAAATCCTCGGCAGCTTGTGCTAAAGGCTTAGTGATTAACTGAAGTTACTATAATTTTTTGTGAGAGGTGGAGAAATGTTGTTGTCTCCTGTGGTTTTAGACTCCTGCTTGGCTCGAGCAGATGATCGCACACACGACATGGAGGGATCTCTTCTATAAGCTGGCAGAGGCTCACCCAGACTGCCTGATGCTCAACTTCACTGTAAAGGTATACTAACACAAACAAAAACACATTTTTTGTTGCTGGCTTTTTGAATGTAAGGACTTGGTTTGTTAGGCAGCTAGATATTAAATGCAATACTGTAGAGTTTGGAGGAGAAAAAGTCAGCAGATAACATTTTATCCACTTACCTTCACGTTAAACTATATATTACACTATACGTTTGCAGCAGTTCACTGAGTCACTGGTGTCTTCTCTGTGTTTGTTCAGCTCATTTCAGATGCAGGTTACCAGGGTGAGATCACCAGTGTGTCTACAGCATGTCAGCAGCTGGAAGTTTTCTCCAGAGTACTGAGGACATCTCTAGCCACACTACTCGATGGAGGAGAAGAAAACCTTGAGAAGAATCTGCCAGAATTTGCTGTAAGGCTTAAATTTACTGTCTGAAATTAAGTCCTGTGAAATATAAGCCGTTTTGAATTTAGAGTCTTCCTGCTGTGATTTCAGAGTTAGGATGTCATTATTTGTGAAATCTGATATTGGATCCAGTGTGTTGCACCCTAATACCTTGCAAATCTTTTAATATATGAATTTTTATAGAACCTGAGTGTAGTGCTAAAATATTCAGTTTATCAGTTACTCAACAGAAAATCAAGAATTTTGTTAAGTGATTGTTTTTAAGACATTTACCAAGCAAAACTGACGATTGCTGATTCAAGCTCATCACAAGTGGGAGAATTTTCACCTTTACTCTGGTTCAAATGATTGTAAATTGAACATCTTTCAAGTTGGACTGTTGGCCAGGTGAAACAAGCAAATGTGATCTTGGCTTCAAGGAAAATGTAATCAGTAAAAAGTTTATGGACTATAATATTTTCAGCGTCGGTTGAAATGAGGGTTAGTTTCCTAATGAGTAATAATGACCAGTCAGAGCACGAGGCTGTGTAGGCTGCACGTGATGATCTCTGTTGACTGTTCTCTCCTCCCTCCTGCAGAAGATGGTGTGTCACGGCGAGCACACCTACCTGTTCGCCCAGGCCATGATGTCGATCCTTGCTCAGGAGGAACAGGGTGGTTCAGCCGTGCGCCGGATCGGCCAGGAGGTGCAGAAGTCGGCACATGAAAGGTACGGTTGTTTCTCCGTCAGCTAACACCTGCTAGTTTGACACGGTCTGTTCTCTCTGCTGGTCACTGGTGCATGAAGGTGTGAGTGCTTAGGAGTACAAATGGATGAAAGGCCAAATAGTGTGTAAGCACTTTTGAGTGTGCTGCAATGTATAGGAAAGTGCTATACAAGTACAAGACCATTTCTATTTTCACAGTGTTATACTGATCAAGTGGACTTATAACGAAGGCAAAATCAGATTGTGGATAACCCCGGACAGTGCCTGAACAGCTAAAGATCAAACAAATGTCTATTTTTTTGTGGTATAAGGCAACGACCTACAGAGAACTGCTAATATAAGGAAGTAGACGGGTTGGTTTGTGTGTCATAGATAAAAGATTTCACAGTTAATTTCATTTCTGTGCTTGTGGTTCATATTACAGAGGCCACGATGCCAGTCAGATAACCCTGGCCCTCGGTACGGCAGCAGCCTATCCTCGAGCCTGCCAGGCGCTGGGTGCCATGTTGTCTAAAGGAGCCCTGAATCCTGCAGATATCACAGTACTGTTCAAGATGTTCAGCAGCATGGACCCTCCTCCTGTGGAGCTGGTGAGGACAGAGCATCTCTGACCCAGGTTTTACCACCTACATGCTTTTTAAGGTGTTGTTAATTAATACAAATTCTCTTCCTCCTCCAGATCAGAGTTCCTGCATTTCTGGACCTGTTCATGCAGTCACTGTTTAAGCCTGGGTCAAAGATCAACCAGGACCATAAACACAAATACATCCATATCCTGGCCTACGCTGCCAGTGTGGTGGAGACGTGGAAGAAGGTAGCTAGAACGATGATGAGTCTGCTGGTGTGTGTGTGTGTGTTGCTGAACTGGTTTGGAGCACATGGTTGTTAGTTCGACTAAATCCCTGTCACGTTAGTTTTCAGTTAGAATTTGATTTGGAACATTTTATTTGATAATTTACTTGTTTTCTTCCTGAATCAATCAATCAGTTGTTGACTTGAAGCCTCCTGGCTCCACCTTCACAGCGGTTTTCCGGCATCTTAACCTTTCATTCTCTTCAATCCCAGAACAAGCGAGTCAACATCAATAAAGATGAGCTGAAGTCGACTTCCAAGGCCATAGAGACTGTTCACAACCTGTGCTGCAACGAGAACAAAGGAGCTACGGAGCTGGTGGCTGAACTGGGCACCTTGTACCAGTGCATCCGGTGAGTGGAAGAGGAAGTTCTTGTCCCTCAGAAGGTGTCAGTTTTCTTAAGGGAAGATGTGATAAGAAACTGAGTTATGATTGCTTTGTGAAGGGCAGACAACATGAAACTATTGCAGTTAGACGATGCTTCATTATTACCTGAAAAACTGTAAACTGGTTGAGTAAAGACCTAACATTTAAGTCTATTTAAAAACCGAACAAACTGTTCTGGCCTGGAATAATTCTTATAATTAATTACTCATTAACCCATATTCATACAATTCAGTTAACTCCGTGCGTGGGCTCAAGGCTGCATAATAAACATACCTGGGCAAGGAGAGAAACCACAAGTCAGTGGTGAAAACTGCTTTTCTCCATGGTGAATTTTTTTTCTAGATATTTCAAGAAAATGCTGGTGTTTCCACCGTTGCATGCAAAAGACTATAAGCGAACCTGGAGCGCTTCGTGTTCACAATGCACAGGTTAAGCCAACTGCATCGTGGACTTGAGATGAACGGAACTGAGACCATCTCCTGAGGGGGTCTCGGATGGGTTTGTTTCAGAGGGGTCTGAGTTCATTTGGAGCATTCACATTTACACAGAAAATGCTGACTAATCGCTCCAAGTTCGTTTTGAGGGCTGAAAGGGACCAAGTGTGAAAACACTAAGAATCTCATCTTCAATAGTCTTTATTACTTGTCTGTTTTCAACACTATTCATTCAGTACTTAAAAAAAAAAAAAGAGATCAGTATCCAGTCCTGCTCATTCTGTCTGACTCCTCTGATTTGATGTTTGCGGTCAGGTTCCCAGTCGTTGCTATGGGGGTTTTAAAGTGGGTGGACTGGACGGTGTCTGAGCCGCGGTACTTCCAGCTCCAGACTGACCACACTCCAGTACATTTAGCTCTGCTGGATGAGGTAAAAGGTTACTACCACTTTAAAGTCAGATTTTCATTCTTGAAGACAGGAGTTTAAATCTGATCCTTTCCCCCTCCAAGATCTGCACGTGTCACCAGCTGCTGCACCCACAGGTCCTCCAGCTGCTTATCAAACTCTTTGAGACTGAACACTCCCAGCTGGACGTCATGGAGCAGGTGTGTCTGTGTAAAATCAGTGCTTCTCATTTCACTTCTCATTTCAAATCTGTGCTCTCAGCTGACTGTGTCGTTTTATTTCACCCATCAGCTGGAGCTGAAGAAAACCCTGCTGGATCGAATGGTTCACCTGCTAAGTCGCGGCTACGTCCTGCCTGTGGTCGGTTACATCCGCAAGTGTCTGGAGAAACTCAACACAGATATCTCCCTCATTCGATATTTTGTCACAGAGGTAATAGCTGCTTCTGATTGCACTTAGTGGCCTTCAATGGTCTTGAATAAGTTTAATATTGTGTTTTACATCTGTGTGAAGTGAAGTTAGGCAAGTTTTACAAATATTGTGGCTTCTGAGTAGGGCTGAGCAAATAGCCTAATTTCGGTCGATCATATTTGCTCATGAGATGTGAAACAGTGCACTGTTTAAATGGAACAAGTGCCAAAGTGTTTTTTTTTTTTAATACATTAAATGTTGCAGTCACAATATTTTCTGGAGAACTGTTCACTACAACACAATTAGGGGTGGAATGGTTAAGTAAAAAATCCAACCCATTTGTTTCACTAATCACAGTTCGGGGCATGTATGTATTGTTTGGTTTCTGAGACATATGCACAAAAATAATCTATACTGTTATGGAAAATAGCCTCGTGCCAGTAACCCAGTGAAACCTACTGGCACAGATGAAATGTCAGTTCAGTCTTTCTTAAAAAAAAGTGTGGACGAGATAAAGTACAGTTACAGGATTTGCCAGCGCCGTTTCAGCCTGCCACAGATTAACCAGGAATACACCTCTGAAAGTGAGACCTGTTCTCAGAACAGCCTGTGAATGTTCATATGGTAATCTTGACAGAGGGTAGTGCCCAGCCTTATCCTGTCTTAAGTTTAAGATATAACACAGGAGTTCTGTCTTTCTGGCTATGGATCAGTGTTTAATCATTGGGTTGTTCAAAATAATTTAACTCCAGTTTTTCCCTTGAAGGTGCTGGATGTGATCGCACCTCCCTACACATCAGACTTTGTTCAGCTATTCCTGCCCATCCTGGAGAACGACAGCATTGCAGGAACAATCCGCACGGAGGGGGAACACGACCCTGTTGCCGAGTTCATTGGTGAGTGAGGTGCTAAAACCTCAAACTAGCACAGCGATGCTACATTTACATAGTCAAAGCCAAATTTATAGAACAGAGTTCATTCTATATACGATACTATTGGAGCTTGGCCAGTACACAAACATAAGTGGTTTTCATGCATGGATGTGGACTGTAAAATGTCTATTTAAAGATACAGTCAGCGATTCTAGCAAAACAATGTTTACATTCAGCACAAGTCGTTTTAGTTAGGAGCTCGTAACCATGTTACTCATGAACGTGCATTACCACAGCAAAGATACTAGCAACTGCAGGAAGAGCCCACACCAAAGGAGACGTGTCAGAATACTAGCGACTGGGGCACAACATGTAGCTAACCTGCTACAGACTCCACTGTTACTCTCTGCTTACATTTGCAAACTAGCAGTTTAGCTGAATGTCCCAGGAAAAGTTAATTTAGCCAACAGGCTTATGTGATGCATATTTGCTAATGTGAAGTTACCGCAAAGATTAGCCTATTACCATAATGATTTTCAATAATTTACCCACTTGACCAGCAGAAAAAGAGCAACCTCTGTGTCTGTGCTTATCCCTTTTAAATCCCAGAGCGCTCTCCATCTTTGGAAAACAGAATGTAGCTATGTTTATGTGGGTCTCTGACTTGGCCTGATTAACATTATAGTCCCCTTTAAAAAAAAAAAATCTTTGTGTTCCCGTCTTTCTCTTCCTGGTTGTTTAGCTGTAGCAGTGGAGCTGGTACTTTTTCAGCCATATATCCTCTTTCAGCTGCAGCAATCTAAATTTTCCAAACTAAACTGAACTGAAACCTGCTATGCACGACAAGATCGCAATTCTTGTGCTGACTGGCTGAAATTAGCTGGCCCGATTCCCATCCTTGCTTTGCCTATTTCAGAGCACGCCTGGGGTTTGTGGAGCGCACAAGCTGAAAGACCAGGCAGAGAAATGTGAGGAAAATTTAGGTGAATATCACAAAATGTCTAATGAATTAGAATCGCTGACTGTAACTTGAAAAGCCTGTTTTCATTAGAAAACTAACCCTGTCACCATCATCTTGACAAACTAACATGTCAGTAATTGTCTCCCTGCCTTTCAGCTCACTGTAAGTCAAACTTCATCATGATTAACTGAAGTGGAACGGGACACTTAATGTTCTCGTTAGAGACGGCACCAGAAAGACTGGACAGAGATATGAGATCTCCATGATGATAAGCAGATGCTCTGCTTGACACTGACGTACATAGCTTGGAGACGAACTTTTCAGTTTGAGCAAGTGAACTGCTGTTGAGGTAACAAAAAAAAGCAAATGTCACTGAGCTGGATGATGGACAAGCATAATAATAGGACAGACTTGTCAACGGAGAGGCCTCTGAGGATGCAGCTCAGTGTTCTCCTGTAGAGGTAGAGCACAGTTAGGTCACACCCAAACTGGGAAGAAAATCAGTTCCTCTCGCTCCATTGACTTTGTATTGGGCGAAGGTGCCTCTTTGACAAAATGTCCTTTTACAAAAAAAACTGAAAAATGCCTAAAAAGCTGCAGTCTGACAGAATGCAGCATCAACAAGGCAAAGAAGCCAGAGCTAAAGTTTTAAAACCAAACCTATAAGAAGTGAGGGATTAGCAGGAAGAACGGGGAAACTGGGATCCTGATGCTCAAAATGCCTTTGGGTGCAGCAACCATTTTGTCTCTAAGTAAAATACCCCAAAGTTAGTTTAGGTTACTATATTTCTGTAAGTTAACTAAGGCATTTTGATAGTATTTCCAAGTTTGCATTATAAATCAAAGTTATGTAGTAACATGTTTGCGCGTGCTTTAGCTAACTACAGCAGCTTGCTAACATTCCAACAGCGAGCTTGTCCGATCATCATTTTAGTTAACTGCCCCCACCTTCCCTCTAAATATGACACTACTTTAGAAATAAAGTGTCATTTTCCTCCCTTGTGCTATATGTTAGCAAGCTACTGTAGTTAGCTAAGGGACCTGCAGATGCAGCTTGCTGCACACAGACGTGTCCAGTGTCAGGGTCCCTGTTTCACCATGTCTTAAAGCATTTTAAATTTATTTGTGAAATCAGCAGCTCTTTAAAATTTTAACTCTGGGTTCTTTGCCTTGTAGGTACTGTATCTTATTACAATGTAGTTTTTTGGCATTTTGTTTTGTTTAAAAACAATTGTCAAAGAAGCACCTTCAATCAGTACAAAGTCAATGGAGAAAAAGTGGGTGTAGCTTTCACAGTAGCTCTGTTTCTGTATTTGTTGTTTCAGGCTGTTTTAAAATAAAAACCCTAACAGAATATCTGGTTTGTGGTTTGACCAGTGACATTTTACCATAACACATCAGTGAATATCAACCCCACAGAATCACCAGCTCGGCGTCCGATACATTTTCTACAGCAAACACAGGTTCACAAATGATTGATACTCGAAGCACAGATTTTATGTGAAGCATCACTTAAATGCTGTTTATCAACAGTTTAAAACAAAATGCTCTTTTTGTTCTACAGTGTAGATAGTTTGGCATAAAAAAAACATCTAATTACATAAAACCTGATGTCAAGTGCATGTAAGGCACACAAAGTTGAGTTCTTTCCACATTTTGTGTACAGATCCCACATCAGGGTGTAGTGCAATACTGTCAATACATAAAACACCACACACTGAAAACAGTGTCGGACAAATTATACACATTCGGTTCTTTGGCTGACTCAGTATATGTAAAATAAAACAAAACCCTGTGTTGTCTTAATGCTCAAACTGATTTTATCTACAGGCATCACTAGTGGCTGCTCAACACACAGTACTTGAATTCATTCAGGGCAGAAACATGTCTTTCACTCTTCTCACTTCATTTAAAGGTTTTCAGTCTGTTAAACAGCCTGCTGTCCTCCACGTGATTAAAAACTACAGCTGCAATGATTCGAGCAGGTCTGATATTCAGCTGAAGACACTGGCACTAAAATTTTATCCATTAACGTAAAAAAAAATATGCAAAAATTGTTATAAAACAAATCTACTTATTCCCTTGTCAGCATTTTACATGTAAAATGTTTGTCTCTACCTGAGACAGGAAGACAGAGTGTGCGGTGATGACCTGTGATGCTGGTCTCCTCTACAGGTAGGCTTTAGCGACAATTGGGTCTCCGTACATGCAGTCCTCCTCCACTGCCAGGTTATACGTGCTGCCACTTCCTCCCTTGTAGGCACTGGTCACAATCCTGAGCCAGCCCTTCTCGCCCTGTGGAGAGAGGGGAGACCGATGAGCAACTTGGTTGATAATGGATTTAGGATTAATGATTATTTTCATTATTGATAAATTTTTTGTCTAACATGTGAGTGCAAGTTATCTGCTCATTTACAATCAGCTATTTCAAAGAAAAGCTTGAAAAATTACTGAAACGATCAAATAACAGTTGCATTTGAACATTCATGGTCTCAAATGTATACATTTGCTCCTGAGTTTTGGATTGGGTTTCAACCAGCAGTCCAGAACTCAGAAGCACACAGCTACGTAGATTTTTCATAATTTTCTGACGTCATCTTGATTGCAAACATTTTCTGCAGATTAACCGTTGGTGAAAATAATGCCTAATATATATTTTTTCTTTCACAAACACCTATTCCAGTTAATCTGATAATTCAAAGTTGCAACACTTTATTTCACAGGATAGATTCTGTGTGCTGTTCTGATCTTCCCACTGGTGTGAAGTGATTGGAAATATGTTTTTGGTCACCAATGGGAATTTAGTCACACATAGGTCGCCACCGTCAGTCATATCTAAATAAACCACATCCTCACAGATCTGCAGAAACTTGTCTTTTTGAGTGCTGGCTCTTTACCATGCCTTCTGTTTGATGAGAACTCACCCATGGCTCTCCCCAGGAGTTGCGTACAATCCAGTATTCAACACCGTCCTCCACTCCCCATCCTGCCACCGACACGATGTGGTTGACAAAAGGTTCCTCCTGGTATTCAAAGTAGACGCCTCCGCTGTACACATCCAGCTGGTCTGTGGCCATAATCCCACAGCTGGAGAAAAACACCACAGATAACTTCCTGGCTCTAGGCAGTGGTAAATTTTTTAAACTGCTAGTGTAGAATGAAAACATGCATGTACAATACTGCCATGTTCCATAACAGTTAGCTGCTCAGTCTGCTCATGCAGTGTTCCTGTTTTGAACATTTAGTATTTTCAAATAAGACATTAGAGATAAAACACACACCCCTAGTGTGTGTTTATAATATCAGAACATTTCACCTTTATTTTGATATTGACTAGTTGGTTGGTCAGCAAGATTTTGGATTATGGAAATTTGGTCCCAGCACTCCCTAGAAATAAATGCTCTGTTTATGTGTGTGTCTTTGATTGTCGTCTCCATCGCAGCCTGAAACAGGGATTTCTGGGTGTGTGTTGCCTTGAACTACCAGACTTTGCCGTACTGGATGCTACCTGCTTGTTCCATGTCAGATCACTCCAAGATGCCCAAATTTGCATTTTCTGCCATTCAAGATGGAGACAAGTGGTGAACCTCACATCATGTGTTTAAAACAGAATCATACAGATGATGGCACCTATCACCTCTCTCTTTATTCAGTCTAAACACTTCAGTTGAATTATTTTGAGTCCCTTTTTTTTTTTTAAATTTCATCTCCTTTGTGGAGTAATGTGACTGTGAAAGACCGTTTAACCCTTTACAGTCTATCACAACTGATACTTTTAAAAAGCTTTCTATCTTATCAGGCTTGTGTGTACATGCCGTTTTATGTCTGAAGGGTGGATGTGGTTTCCTTAATGTCTGGGTGAGTGGACGTTTATTTATGCATCCTAATGTAAAATGGCTAATGTAATGAAATGTGCTATGCAATTCTGACTGACTTGCTTTACCCAAATAAATGGGAAAAAAAAACAAGCAGAACGGAACCCTGTGAAAGAAAAGTACAAATGAGCTGCAGACCTGATGGGTCCTCGAGCATAGATCTCTGCCATCATCTTCTCTCTCCCACTGACAGATCCATATTCTCCGACTTTCCACAGGGTGTAGTTCTTCACAATGTTGCACACTCCAAATGTGGTACAGGTGCCACATTGGTTGAATGGCTTGCACGCTAGAGAGAGATAGAGAGACAGGACATGTACAACTCTGAGTCAGACTGTGGAAGTGAGTGCAACCATTACTTTGTGCACTGAAGGACACTTACTCTGGTCTTTAGCCTGGTAGTTATTACAGGTCTCATCCGGGATTCCGTGTTTGTTAGCATATTCCCAAACCCCGCTGTGATCCCCTCCGTGGCAAGAGCCGGCCTCGCCGCAGTCGATCACATGCTGGACAGAGAGATAGGCAGATGGCCACGCTCCTTTCCGCTTAATGTTGATGCGATCTAGTGAGGAAGCAAAACAGAACCTTACTAGAAATGGAAGCAGAACAGTTTCTGTGCAAAGAGGAAGTGGAACTACAATACCTATATTAAAATATGACTGAAAGGTCATGTGAGAACCACAGCACTTTAGCATATTTTACAGCCCAAACAGGAAAACGAGTCTAACCTGCCATGGCGCTGGTGCTGCCATGGGCCCAGCAGGAGCCACAGTACTGGGGGATGTGCTGGTTGCGGGTCGTGCTGACATAGTTGGTGCCATTGATGTTCCTCCAGTCCCATGACTTGGGCAGATCAGAGATGTTTAAATACTCATGAGGAAGAAGACCGGTCCTGTGAAAGCACAGGTCATTAGACAGCAGCACAGAACAACTGTACATCAAATGTCTTTGGCTTTTGGACTTTTGGTCAGAGAAAATAAGAAATCTAAAGACATCTCCTTGTGCTTTCACTCTTTTCGGACATTTATAGCCCTTAACAGTTTGAGTAACTGAAATAATAATGAAGAGAAACTACCCCTTAGTTGCAGCCCTGAACATACTGCAGTTTGTGAATGGTTCATCTACGTTTTCCTCAGACAAACCAAACCTGTGTTCTCAGCCACAGTATGTTAAGATCATTACCTACTGATAACAAACAGAGACATCTGAAGACATCATACTCAGCTCCACGAAGCTGTGATGGGCATTTCTGACTGTTCTGATGTTTCATAGACAAAACAATTCATTGATAAATTTAATAAAAATTATTCAGATTAATTGATAAAGAAAATAAGGGTTAGCTGCATCTCTAGACTTATGCTGTATATCTCAAAAGTATTTTACCAAAAAGAAATGAATGTAGTATTTTCCACTACAGTGGTATACTATATGTGCTAGTATGAAAAAAGCTGAGAAACAGTATCTGGACAATAATGATAAGGTAAAACGTATATAATAGATTGTGTTTTTATGGCTCTCTTAATGTTTTTAAATGTTTTCCATGGGAATGCTTTGGCATCCAGTAAAAAAGTAACACTGTGTGGTCAGAGTTGTGCAGAGAGTGATTTTCATTTTTAGATAGAAATGAATAATTAGCTAGGGTTTTTATTATATAACATACATAAGTTTATACATTTTAATCTCACAGTTGTGTTTATGTTATGTAGTTACATATCACCCTAAGTGTGCACTGAATCATTGGTCAGTATATTGTGTTAGCTAACTGGAGCACTGGTTAACATCAAGGGAGACTAGTTCACTAAAACACTGATATCTCATTAGATTTACAGCTTTAGCAAAGAGGGTCCACAGATACTTTATTACCACCACCTGGCTAATGGGACGGGGAAGCTATAGTTTAGTGGAATTCCTTGAATAGTTGGAACAGAGATTAGATCTGAGCCCAGGAAGAGGAAGCAACTTCAAAGGCAGGGCAACACAGACAGAGCAGTTTTATTGGAACAGGAGAGCAATGTCTAAAATGTGGCAGTTCCTTGGAAACAAAGGAAGACATAAGTGTCTATGTAGGAATTAAGACAGGGCAGGTATTCCTCCCTTTTTTAGGGCGCTGTCTACGACCATTGGAGCAGAGAGGATGATTGGAGGACGGACAGACTGAAGGACCAATCTTGGGAGAGTTAAGTTTAAACCACAACTTCTCCCCAACAGTTTGCTGAGGTAACATCCACACTGTGGGGAATTCAGAGGGCTATCAACTTCCTCAACATGTGACTGGCCATCATAAAACCTCGTGATCTGTGGAAAGTGGTGCCAAATAAGTACTCAGGTCATATGACACTGAGCTAACAAACATTTACTGTAAATGACGCAAAAGACTGAGTGAAATCAAAACTTCAATACACTGCGTTTTATTGTTACTTCCCCTGACGTTACACTTAAGTAAGTTACATTTTTATGTCATATATCAGGCGTATTCACCAGATTTTAAGTGTTAAATTAACATTACCTTTATCACAAGCTGGCGGTGTTTCTGATAAGCAAACTAACGCCCGTCTGTAGCTAGCGTTAACGTTAGCTAGCTAGAGAAAATACCCGGCGAACTGTTTGTGTTTTTGTAATTATTGACACAAATCTGTTCCACTTACTTGAGTCCAAAGTCGTGTCTCCTCGGGGTGCGGACATAGCAGGGCTGCTTCTGGTTAAAAAACACCCCCGCGGACGCCCCTGCGAGCACGGACCAAAGCAGGACAACGACCGCCGCTGTCCGAGCCATCTCCTAAACCGGTGGGCTTCACTCAGTGGGGCTCTGAATGGAAGAGGAGAGAGTCGGTGGTACTGAGCAGAAACAGCTTCTACACTGATGTGTCAGGCAATCTCCAGCCTGAAGTATCGGTTGGGGCTGTTTTACCGAGATTACAGTCATGTGACCACGAAAACACGTGGAATATAAACACCCATGTGTTTTACAAGAGGTCATGTGGCCACAATGACTAAGCTCTGCAATGAATTTGTGATTTAGCTTTATAATGTTGGAACCGCGCTTATGTTTTTTTTTTAAGGTTTATGATTGTTCCTTACATCCACAAGTGTTAATTTGCCATGTACAACAAAACATTCTGGCACGTCAAAGAAAAGGTGACCAAAACAATAATAAAACTGGAACTAATTCAAAATATATTTGTTCTGTAATTGATACCAAGTGTAAGGTGTCAATAACTTACTCCAAATTTACCTTGTCACTTAACTGCAGCTTGGAAGGGAATGACAAAAAGTGATACATTTGTACTGAACATGTAACTTTGGAAGATATATCCACTTGTTATGTCTGGTCTATTTTAAAGAGCTGAAGCAACAAGCCTCATATTAGTTTCAAATAAATTATTTTTAGGACTAGATCTTGTCCCTCACCACTTATGTTGAAAGCACAGTTTCTTAGTAACCCGTGTTAACAACAGGATAAAGTGCATCACACCTGCTGCTGTAATATGACAAACCCCATAATGGTCATCAGAAAGGTGCCTGCATTAAAGCTCTAGGAATCAAATTATTTAACATCCCCAAAAATACAAAAAGAGCACAGAGGTTAAACATCCACAATGCTGTGGCTTCCTGGTGTATTAGGACTCTGATGCCAGCCAGCTGTATTGACTGACTGGTGGTCTAGTACAAGACAACGGTGAGTTAGGTCAGCTGTCATTCTCCAAAAAGCTAGAAATTGAATCTGGAATTAGGTTTTTGCTTAAATATTGTCACATTTTCATTACACACACACACAGAGGTCCGATGGCAATGCCTTTATTCAAGGACAAGATGATTGTCACAAGGATGGAAAAACATGCTTCAGATGAAATTTCTAATATACTTGTAGTTAACATCTGTTTTTTTTGTGTGTGTGTGTGTGTGTGCTGACAACGCATCTGTGGTAATGCTGGTCATTACTAATCTAATGTCACTGTAAAACTTAAAAACTGCAGTAAGCGCTCAGTCCTCAGTTTGGTCCAAAGATCACACACTAACTATTCAGAAGATGAATACAAAGTGCAGTGATTACCAAAGGTATCTAGCTTTACTGATCTCGAGCCAGTATTTTTCACATCAAAATACAAAAAAGAAAAAAGTATGGTATAGTCTTTGATTTGCATACGGTATGAACATACAATAATCTGCTGATGAATGTTCAAAAACAAAACCTTTCCCTGTAAAATATCAAAGAATTATAGCTAAAAGAATATAAAGTGGCCAGTTATTAAAACCTGAATCATAAAATAAACCGCCTGCATTTTCAGGGGTTATATTAGTCAACAGACTTTCATAAAAAGCAACTGAACAATGGAGAAGCTACAGAGATTTCCAGCACAAGAAGTGCCAAGTCATGACAAGTGAGGGCCTGTATTTTATCATAATCATATATAACCCACCTGATTTACTGATGATTATCTGTTTTATTTGAGGTCAAATTTAATCAAACACAGAAAGTTGAATCACAGTTTAAAATGTTTTAGCACTTGTTTCAACTGTTTAGGTGTGCAGCAGCAGACGGGAGTAAACTATTCTCTGTCTTCTACACCAGTCTTCGTCTTTTGCAGTCACGCTCCATCTGGACTTCAGACATGTTGGTGGCTGCGCCCAGAGGAGACACTTGTTTCAGCATGGAGTCATCTGATGCCTGGCCAAACAGGGCCATTAGCAAAGCAACACCAAACCCTGTGGCGCGCTCCCCCTGCAAAGGCAAAATAAAATAATGAAGCTTCAGGTTACTGTAACGTTACTCTGTACTTGTCATTTTCATTCAGAGCTGACTGAACCTAACATCTTGTTGGTTCTAAAAACCCAGTGACACACTGACGAGATTACAGATAAATTGCAGGCCTGTAGTACAGAAAACATGACTGAGCTGTATTGTTATGAACTGAATCATAAGACCAGGAGAAAAAAAACAGGCACTTTTCCTTATTTCTCTTTTTTAAAACAACTTTATGAAATGAAGAGCTGATGCACCTGCAAAGAAGTTGTAAAAAGATGCTGGAAGTGTGAAATTTCAAGAATAGGTGTAGAAGCAGATGCAGATCTCTTGATATGCTACCTTCAACAGCAGTACAATCTTACAGTATTGAGCTTCATAATGGATACATAAAGTGTCAGCAGAGGAAATAAATACTTCTAAACATACAGCTGGCTCAGTGAGCCTCTGTACAACATGTAACCCATATCCAGCATGATCATCAGGTCAGCTGGTCCTATGATGATGACAACTGCATGTATGACCTCTTCATCAGTTGTGTCCGATACAGTTTTCCTGGACTGGACCCAATAATTTTTTTCAGGATCATTAGAAGAATCCTTCAGGATTATGGAAATACCTTCAGAATTTGGGTGAATATTATGAAACAACGGTACGGGGTTAAAACTTTTGGCAAGTTTCAACTTCGGACCTTCATGGAAGATTACATCTGTGACTCAAATGTATGTAATACACGAGAGTCACAAGCTGAGGCTAAAACAATAGTACAGCTACAACAGCCACAGCATCAAAGATTCAGCCACAGTGCAGCCGTGGCCTGAGCGACAACTAAATCCATAGCCTCAACGTCACCCAGTATAGGATGTTTGCTGTCAGAGCTCAGCCTGTTGGAAGGAGTAATGCATAATGTGAATGATTCAGTGTTTGTTGATATTAACGAGTAAACTTGTATTACCCTCTCGCTGTGTCCTGTTCTTCCAGCCATACTCATCTCAGCTATGTTTGCACAAGGAAACTTCATACACTCAGTCAAAGGCCACTTTAATGTAATTTTAGTCAAATCAAGAAAGCATGTACATCAGTAACGTCCTCAAAATTTCCATTGTCTCTCCTATTTCAGGTCACTAAATCTCTGACAACAGTTAGTTTGGACCTTAAATTGTTTTTTTTTATATATACACAAAACACAGGAAGGCTTTATATCAGATGTTGGGTTTATGTGATCCTGTCAGGAATATGTGCATGTGTCATTGTCATCTAAGGTCAAGAATAAAACAGCACAGAAAGTCAGCAGCTGCAGTATGACACAGTCTGAACAAGTTTAACAAAGTTGCACTGCAAGCAGAAAGTTCCTGCTTTGCTTATTCCATCTTAATGACTATCTTGTGAAGCTAGCTGCACCTAGTAAAACATTCACTTCACTAACTTATGATCATCACCTGACTGCACAGTGCCCGTCAGCACACAAAAGCCCTGGGTACTCACAGCGTGGACAGGAGAGGCGATATCAACATGGACCCAGACACCAGGCCAATCAAAGCCCAAGTGGGAAGCAATAAAGAGGCCGGCGCAGGAGCTCTGGGCATTCTCCCGATCCTGGCAAAACAAAAGAAAGGATGGGCCCAAAATAAATTATAACAGCCACCAAACAAATATTCTACTTGAAATGTGTAGCTGACAACTAGTATGTGGAATACTTGGTTCAGGTCTGGAGCAGACAGAAATCAGTTCGCAGACTGACACAGAAGTGCAGTTTAAAATTTTAATTAAGTACATAAAAACAGCATTTAACTTCTCATTCATGACAATTCACTACAGTCAGGATAATGAGGGGCGCATGGGTTCAGTGGCTTAACAGGGAGCAGGCGCTTTCAGCACAGGGAGAGGGAGGACATGTCTTTAAGTTTGTGTTGTGCTCGTTCAACAGGTGTTTGATAAATTGTTTGTGGTCCATTAGCAGCATATTTTGCGGCATGTATTGAGTACGGCCATCAAGAGTTATGCAACCTCATCTCTACTCTGCTGTGTGTGTGTGTGTGAGAATGGCCCTCCCTCTCCATCAACTTTGAAAGAGCTCCCAGAAGTGAAGCCACCCTGACATGATCGCCCCCTGGTGGTTGGTTGCATTATAGGTCATAAATCCCTCCTCCTCTATGTTAATAGACTGGCAACCTGTCTAGGGTGTACCCCGCCTCTTTCCCCCATGTCAGCTGGGATTGGCTCCAGTTCCCCCCGACCCTCTTCAGGATAAGCGGTATAGACAATGGATGAAATTTTTCCTCTTTCACTTAACGACCTGCTCATCCAGCGTGAGGTTAATGAAATTTTGCTGTTGAGTGGTATCGCTCTGTAGTATGGAATGACTTTTATGAGTGCAAATGCAAGGAGCAGAAGATGGTATTGGATGCAATTCAGGTCTAGTATCGATAGATCCCTAATTACATTACTACAGTTCTCAGGAATGTGGTCTTGACTGTCAAGACTTTTGATGAACCAAGCTGACTGACATAACGGTGACGCGGGTACAGTGATCTGCCATTATGCTGGAGAATGGATAAAAACATGTCAGTAAAGCCTTCCTAGTGTTATTTTAAATAGATACATAGGTTTCAGATTTCATGTGGTTTTGATGAATATGACCTTCTGTTTTGTAATCTGTCACTTACTGCCACAGAGTTCTTCATGTCAGCCATGGCGGAGGTGAACTCACTGAAGTGCAGCTCGGGGCAGTAAACCAGAGGGTGAGTGAGATCTCCACTGCTGCGGCCAGCACGCACACACGCAACCTCCCACTGCTCGCTGTTCGTTATCACAGCTGCATGGTACTTCCCTGTGGAGATACCCTGAACAGAAACAAAAAAGGAGATAACTGTTGAAAGGGTCAATTCATTGTTGATTTTGGTCTGTTCAGGGGAATTGCTGAAAAAAATAAAATCACAAATCCAAATCCAAGCTGCTAGTTCAACGTGAAAACAGAAAATTCACACTATAGAGCCAGCATGTAGTTTGTTCATACTGGGCTACTTTAAAAAACATGGCGGCTCAACATAGGCTCCATGATAGGGGACCCTCTGCTATGTACATATAAAAGGCTCATTCTAACATAAAGAAATGATTATTTTCTGGTGCTTACACCTTAATGAAAACATAATTATGCATACTATAGCACATTTCTGTTAATAAATCCTTCTAGCTCTTACACACCACAACTTTAAGTCTATTATCTGATTTGTGATAAAGACTGGAAATTGTCCAGTATGCGCTTGCTGTGGAAGGTTTAATGGCATTAAGCCTTCTGCCCTCCACAGGCAAAAATGTCAATTTTTGTCAATTTTTATTTTTTGTTTGGCGATTATTTTGGCTGTGTTGCAGCTTATGACATGAAATTTGGAAGGAAAGTTTCTTTTTAGTAATATTTTTGAAATCCAGTGTCATTTATTCTTAAATGTCATTTATACTCTTTTTATGCATTTTGTACCCTCCTAACACCCTCGTGGCCAAAAATGCACAAAATTGTTATAAAATCATCATACTTCAATTTTTTTTTCATAAATCTCTTAAACAACTTCAGACTTGCTCAAAACTACCAAACATTTAATCATTCTCAGGATTTTAACCCTTTAAATGCCAGTCATTCATTTTAATTATGAATTATTTATTACAAAAAACACTAAAAATGAATTATTTTCCATATAATAGTAGAAGGATGGGATTTCGGTGGTTATTAGAGTCTTGGATATGCCAAAGATTAGCAACAAAATAGATTTGATTGCATCAGTATTTTTTATGTAGTGCCAGATAGTCCCTCCTGACACCTTCGTGGCCAAAAATGCCCCATTGACTTCCATTGAAACCACATTTTTT